TAATGCTGTCTGGAGCAGCCCTGGGAAGGCAGTGGGTGCCCTCCAGGCTCCACACCAGCCCCACTCCCAGGGATGTACAGCAGAGCTCTGGCTGGACTGGGGCTGTCAGCAGAACTCCGTGTCCAGGGGAGGAAGGCTGGCATTAAGCAACTAACTACCCACTCCGGGTCTGCAGCACGTGGCCACTGCAGAGGGGGGCCAGTGAGGGTTTGTGGTTTCCAGCTTGAGCCCTTGCTGGGTCAGAGGAAGGGGAGGTGATTCACATGTATAGGTTCCAGAAACTGCCCCACCCCCAGCCCCCTGGACAGCTTTGGGTGACTTCCCATTTCTTCCTCCCTTCACCACAGAGGGTTTTATTTCTTCCCTGCCTTTTCTTGCCCCTTCCTCCACTCTTCTTCCTTTTCCAAGTTTTACAGCCCCCTGAGGCTCTATTTCAGCATCAGCTGGAAATGCTGGGTCCCAGCTGTGGTCACAAGAAAGTAGAATGAGGGAAGGGGGAAAAGCAGGGCCCCTTACGCTTCTTGTACTGAAAAGGCAGTACAAGAAGCACATAACCGCACAGGAAGGAGACTGGAATTCTCCCTCAGACTCTCGTCTAATGTGCTGTGTGCCCTTGGAAGAGTCACTTCCCATCCCTGGGCCATCCTTTGTCCATCTGTACAAGGAGAAAGTGTCCGTAGCAGCATGTCCCACAGGGAGGCCTGTATCTAGGGGTGGGCCAAATGTCTGCAGTTTACTAGAGTCCTTCCAGTTCTGGCTCAAATCCCAATAAGCCTTTCCCTTTAAAAAGCAGCACAACCTCTCAACTTTATCTTGAGTTGGAATGTTCCAGGATCTGACCCATAGCGTCAGACTCGGCAGCCTAGAATTCCTGGCAGGACCAGGTTGGGCAAAGGCTCAGACACATGGGGTTCTGAGGGCAGAGTAAGCAGCTCCCTGGATGGAGGGAGAGTGCATGAAGGGTCGTGGGATAAGGTGTCTTAGCCAAGCTGTGGTCCACAAACTGCCAGCATCAGCTTCACCTGAACACTTGTTAAAAACTCAAGTTTTGGGGCCCCACCCCAGACCGACTGAGAAGCAGTCTCTGGAAGCCAGGCCTAGGAATCTGCATTTTCACAGGCCTTCCAGCTGATTCTGATGCACTTTAAAGTTGGAGAAGCATTGACTTAGGATGGAACTGGAAGGGCTTTGGGTGTGGAGCTAAGTTTGTTCAGAGCTTGCGCAGTAGGTGGAGCTGGGTTACTGAAGGTGCTTATGTGGGGAAATTCAGTCAGATGTGCTCAGGAACGGGGCTCTGTATACACAGTGAGAGGAGGAGAAGGGTGGAGGGGCCAGTGTGTTGAAGAAAAGAATCAAATTCTGAAGCATTTGAAGATATTTATTCTGAGCCCAATATGAGTGGCCAGTGGCCTGTGACACCGCCCCAGGAGATGCTGAGAACATGTGCTCAAGGTTATTAGGCTACATTTTGGTTTTACACATTTTAGGGAGACATGAAACATCAAGCAATACATATAAGATGTACATTGGTTGGTCCAGAAAGGTGGGGCAACTCGAAGAGGTGGGCTTCCAGGTCATAGGTGGATTCAAAGACTTTCTGACTAGTAATTGGTTGAAAGAGTGAAAGTGTTCCAAGGTCCTTGCACTGTTTCAGAGGATTGTTTAGGATAGTAATTTTAGACTTAAGCAAATGTGTTAAAATTTCGAGGGCAATGGGTAAAAGAATACAGTGTAATCTTCCAAATGAGTAGAGGGAAAAAAGCATTATGCTAAGATTAGATATTTATGAAGAATATTAGAAGAATTCATGGAAAGATTTTAAAACCTAACAAATAGAGAGATAGAAAACATAATTAACTGAAATAATCAATTTTGTAAAGATGCCAGCATTGCCAAGTTGATTTCTTGATTCACTGCAATTCCAAGCAAAATGCCAACAGGGTATTTTGAGCAACTTGCCAAACTAGTTTTGAAATTTATAATGAAAGGCAAAAGCTGAAGTATAACTGAGAAGTTCCTGAGGAACTTCTTGAGATATCTGTACATCAAGATTTATCATAAAGATGTAGCAATTAAAATTCCATGATAGTAGCACAAAGACAGATACACTGACCAGAGAAACTGAATAGAGTCGACAGTATTCCTGCTCAAAGCGGTATGCAGAACAGAGGTGGCCTTGTTCATCCACTAGAAAGTGGACTATCCACAATGGTGCTGAGATAAATGATTATTCATATGAGGAAAAATGAAGTTGGATCCCTGCCTCCCACATATAAAAAATCAATTCTAAATGGATTAGTGGAAAAGGGAATATTTACAAATATTTTCAAGAAAATATAGGAGAATATTTTCTGATTTCAGGGCAAGAAAGACTTCATGAGAAGATAGAGAGCTGACAATAAAAGAAAAGACATAAATTCGACTTGTCAAAAGACATGCAGCAAGTGAAAAGACAAGCCACTATCTGCAAGACAATGTGTGTAAACAAGTATAACTGATTAAACATGAGTATCAAGAATATACGGCCGGGTGCGGTGGCTCAAGCCTGTAATCCCAGCACTTTGGGAGGCCGAGGTGGGTGGATCACGAGGTCAAGAGATCGAGACCATCCTGGTCAACATGGTGAAACCCCGACTCAACTA